ATTTTCATTTGTTCAGTTCTTTGGTTTATGACCTGAGAAACTGCCATTCCCATCAGCCTGCTGATGTTAGCATTTAGTTCAAATGCTCCTGTGCTTAAGTATAGGCTAGTCCCTCTCAGAGCATTTCTGTTGATGTACAGGTGAAACAAACAACATTAATGGTGTTAGTGCTGGAAGCCGGCTTTAGAGGTTTTTTTCACAGTAAATAGAAGCATCTGTTTCCCCATTTAGGCAAAACACATCCTGTCTCTGGCTCTGTGTTTAAAGTGGTGACATGAAATTGATATTGATCTTTTTATCTTAATCTTTGTAGGAAAGCAAATATAACTGTTATTCCCAAAATATTCTGAACTATACCTTTTTAAGGTAAAATAAACAGCCTCTACTATAGGTTGCACTATTAAAAAGTTAGTACCAAATAAACAAAAGTTAAAACTGTGATATAGCTTTGGAAAGTAATTACATATATTGATTAATTAATGCAATTATTTTGTTTTTTTGAGCACCGAGCCAGCGCTGCCAGACTCCTGGGCCTTAGTGGTATAATTGAGGAAAAAGCAGATTGAATCTTTTTTTATCAGCATTTAAACTGTTATAATTGTTTTGAGAAATGGGCTGACGGTGTGGGGCAGCTTCTATAACCAGATCACAGATGTGTGTGGTAGTTTCTCTTTGGCAGGTATAAGACTATGTGGCCTGCATATTAACCGCTGAGCCAGTGAATCACAGCATATTTTGTTTGTCCATAATGAATGTCAGTGGATCTGTGTGCAGCCTCAGCACACCTTCACCCTAACATAGTTCTGTTTTCTCAGCGGAGCAGCTTCTCTAATTATAATGATTGTTACCCAGTTTAATTGGCTGTGCCAGCAGTCTCAGGAGTCACAGGATGCTCACAGAGGTAATTGCATATGAGCAAGAGAGAGAGTGAGTTGATGATGAACCCTCACAAAACTTACCCAAAACCTGCACTACACAGGCAGAATAATGGGCTTCCTATCTTTTTTCAATTACAGACTTACATGGGGATGGTAATGAAGAATTAGTGCAGAATCCAAAAAGGTGTTCACCACAGGAAAGTCATAAACAGGAAAAAGTTGTCCGACTCCACAGGGAACAGTTTTAATTATGTTTCTTACTATTTTGCTCTATGCAATTTTCGTTGTAATATTTGGATTCATCTTAAATGCATCGCACTTCTGTGAGCCAAAAGTAAATTTCAAAACACACAATTTGAATCAGCTGTGATCAGTGACAAGTTTTTAAACACAGGGACTAACAACCTTTTTTTTTTTTCTGGTGATGTTACATCAGTTATAACTGTGAATGCAGCAGTCATACAGATCTACATGTTTCCATGATCAGCTGGAAATGGACTGTTCTGTATCTTTAAAGAAAACTCTTTCAGTACTCAAGTACTGTACTTAAGTGCAAGTTTGAGGTGGTTGAGTATTTTCCATGTATTGTACTTTATACTTCTACTCCTATGTTTAAGAAAGAAATATTGTACTTCAGATTTATTAGAAAGCAATGGTTACCTGTAACAAGTTTTTATATGTAAAATATAAGATCATCCTAAAAATTAGAGCTGCATCTAACATTATTTACCTTGTCAATTAATCTATCATTTCAATTAATAAAAATAATCATTCGGCCTGTTAAATTTCAAAGTGACATCACCAAATGTCAAAACCCAAAGATATTTAGTTTAAAGTGATGTAAACCAGAGAACAGCAGCATAATCTTATATTATCTAAAACTCTATTACAAATAAAATAACTGCATTCCAAATACTACCTAAAAGTACAAAAGCATCATCAGCAAAACGTAATTAAAGTATCAAAAGTAAAAGGGCTCATTGTGCAGAAGCACTCCTTTCAGAGTATTATATTATTACATGATGTTGTAGTTTGTCAATCTTAGGTACTTTAATCCCCACTGTTTCATTTAGAATGATTTTATAAGATCATATATTTTGAATGTAAAATCTTAATCTGAAAAGTATCTGTCAGATAAATGTAGAGGAACATTTCTCTCTGAACTGTGGTGGAGTAGAAGTATAAAGCAGCATACAATGAAAACACTCCAGTAAAAGTACCTCACAATACTTGAGTAAATTAACTTAGTTACTTTCCACCATTGGCTAAATAATAAACTATAAATATGATGTATTACTCTAAAACATCCTCTAAAGTAGTTCAAATTAGCTCCATCTTGACCAGCTACAGCACAAAAATGCTGCTCACATGTTGATGCATCAGTAAAATATGACAGAGTATGTTCATCCACATAATTGGTGTTTTTTAAATGTTTTAAAAATATTCTCACGCTGTAGTCACATCATTAGTTTTGAGGTATTTGATCAAAAATACTATATTTGACTTCCAGTTGCTATGAGAACAAGTGTCTTCCACCACCACTGAAGAAATTAAAGTTTGAGTTGTAGCTCTCAGGTTTCTCTGTAGTGCTTTTAAATTCTTTTCCACAACTTAGATTTGCTTTCAACTGATCCATCACTGTGACAATCTCTCCCCAGTGCAGACCATCTGGAAAACAACACTGATGGAATAGAGATGTGATGTGCTGTTGTGGACCAAAGCCGAGGACTGCTGGCAGTGTTTTTAGATGCACTTAAATGAACTGCAAGGGAGCCAACAACAGCTGAGAGGTAAACACACACATCATAATGTTAGAGCAAGCTGCTGGCTTTCATAAGTAGAAGTAAACATTGCCTTGGGATTTTTTTGGGGAAAATTATTTTCAAGAAACACAAGTTTGATTCAGCTAGCTTTATTATGGCACTTTGTACATGTCACATTACAAACTCAACATTCTGGGTTCATACAGCACATAAAAAGATCAAGAAGACATTGCATGTTTTAACAAAGAACAGAAGGGATCTGGAAGCTGCTTAATTTTCACCACACACACTCACACATTCAATCAGATGCCAGTGTAGGAGTGATAGGCTATCCAAAATCTGGTCAACCTGTATAGATCACTCGTTTTCTAGTCACCTGTGACATAAGCCTGTATTTCCTTATTGATGTGATTTGTCATTAAAGGATAGGTTCACATTTTTCCAAGTCTATCCTGATATAATAGTCATAGGCCAAAGACAAGGCTCTGGTCGCTGTATGATATCATTCCTCCTCTCCACACTGGTTGTGAAAGATTCCTTTGTGAAGTGATTTTGATATAAGTGATGGGAGACAAAAATCCACAGTCCTCCATTCTGTGTAAAAATGATTAAGTTCAGCTGAAGCCAATATCAGCTTGAGCAGTCTGAGTACAAAAAATGAGTCATTCTCTTCCAAAGTAACTGTCTTTTTAGTACAAAATCCCCTCTTATGGTATAAGACAGATGGTCTTTTCGGCCCTGAGGCCTTCTTCAAGAGTGAATCTTGAATCTCGAAACGTCATCTGTCTTAATAAAAGAAAACTGAATATGGAGCCAGACAGTTTTTTTTCCTGCTCTCAAGGAAGGGATTTTTTCACAATCAGTGGAGGGAAGAGACAGTTACAACCAAGAACTCTTTCAATTTGCATATGTGGCAAATTTAAACCTATCCTGTAACCTAAAAAGTATTTTGCCACTGTTAATGCTAGATGACATCATGTTCATATAATCTCAGGGCCAGGTCTTTAATTTGAAATAAGGCTGTGACTAAGTTATTTTCATTTTTTATTATTTGACCAAATATTTATATTTACCACTACTTCTTTACTTCTCTCTCTGTACAATGTCAGAAAATAGAGTCTACAAATAGTTTTGTGACACTTCAGAACTTTTAGTTTACTATTGTGAAGACAAAGAAAAAAAAAAAACCTTATAATTGAGAAGTTGTAACCAGAACAATTAATAATATATAAACAATTAACCAGTTATCAAAATAGTTTGCAGATTTATCATCTAATTCTAATTTGAAATCTGTGGATATTACGTCTCCAGTTCGACAACACAAAACCCTGATTCTCGAAGAAAACATCTATTACCATCTTCTTCTGTCTAAAAAAACACATGTGCAAGGAAACTGTACAAAACCCATTCTTGTACATAAAAGTAGCATTACATGTTGGTGTATGTGTACATACACTGTGACATCCATCCACACAGACTTTGTGCACAGCATTGTTTAACACACGGGACTGAAGGTAAACAGGTTGCATTGAAGTGCTACGAGATCTTTCGTTGGCACACGAGGAGTAACATTTACAATATTTACATCTGAGATTAAATAACCAGTTGTCATGCGTTTCCTAAAAACAAACTGTTCTGTAGAAAATAAAATTCTCACATTCTATTTGGATCTTTTTGTTTTTTTTTTTCTGTCCATGTGTGGAAATTATAGTAATGGTTTAGCGAAAAGAACACATTTGTGTTGAACAGCATTCCCTTAAATTCATGTTAATTTCTCCTGTTGGATTGGTTCTTATACTGTACAGGATGCATGAGCAGTAAGAATTAACAAGGAAGCATTCTGCAGTTGGCATTAAAACTGTAAAACTAAAAAACATGCTACTGAAGGTACTCCAACAGGAGTCACAATAAAGCTGACTGACTGAGCAATCCTGTGAGTGGGATCCCAAACCTGACACACTCTGAACAATGCAGCTCGAGAGCGTGACAGTGTGAGGAATAAAACACTTGTTAAACCACAAACTTTCTTCTGTTCCCTGTGTTTGAAGTCAAATAAATTCAAAGAAAACCTGAATAAATATGACACGAGAAAGGAGCGATCATTGAGGAAGTGACAATAAACTGAGCTGTCCATCTGCGGCAACACCCCAGACAATGAGGTCTTCCTCTGACATCATCCTCTCCCTTTGGTGCTGCAGTTAATGGCTGTCTGACCAGCCCCGTCAGTCAGAGGGAGACGAGTCCGGCAGACTCCCAGCAGGCCTTTGGGGGGCAGGGGGTGGGGGTGAGGTGTCAGCTCATGAGGATAGGGACTTGTGCAAGGACTTTGAGGTGCGTGAGGGTGGGTAGGTAGGTAGGTTTAGGTCCGCACCCAGCAGAGAGGCACCCAGAAGGATTCTCGCTCCAGCCTTTCCAGAATACCTCGTAGTTCTGCACAGGCACTGGCCGAGTCCTCCTTGATCAGGACCCGGTCCACCAGGTGTCCATACTGCTGGTCGATCTGAATGGCAGACTGACGCATCTCCTGCAGGTCCTCGTCCTGTTGCAAAAAATAAAATGAAGGGATTTATATGGAGACACACACATATACTGAGGCTGTCTTGATCGAGTCCTATGGAGGACCTGAAGGCAGAAACCTTAGTGCTCACATTTGTACAAACTAGAGCTGAGACCTGAACCTACACTTCCTCCACAAATCAGAGTCTAACTAAACAACCAGGTGCTTTCACAAATAATTGTCACCTGCAAATTACAGATACATTTCAGAGCCTCATGTTCATGCATGTGTTTCAGGAAACATGTTTGTTTTGATTAGATAAATGTGGGGAAATTATCTCAAGCTGCAAATCACAGCATGCATGTCGCAAAATTGGTGAAATGTGTCCTAGACAAACAAACTATGTAATAAATCCAGTTGTCAGATAATTGGGTAAATCGAGCTAAAAATAATGCAGTCTGATACACTCCTGCAATAAATCCTCCTTCATGAAAGTTATGTTGACTTTTTGTTAAACTGTATTGCATTATACGGACCAGTGTTTCAATTTCTTTGTCCACCCCATTTATATCAATAAAGGTAAAGCTATATAGCAAACACCTCTCTGTATCATGTAATACAGTTCAACAGCAGTTGAATCAATACAAACAGTTTCAACACAAACTGAACATTACAACCTTAATAGAAGAAGACTGTTGTATTCGACAGCATTGGTTTAGCTTGGTGTTCCTAATAATCATCCAGCTGCGCTTATTTACCTCATCATTATGTAGTGGTTGCATATTTCCATACTTAACGAGTTGGCAAGAATCGTCAGACTGCTCCATTAAACAGTGAACAAGAAATACTAGTGCATAATGGCTTGCAGAGTATTAAGAGCTACAAAACATGTGTGTGCCCCTAGGCCACATTCAGAAAAGCCTTGAGCTGGGACACGGCTATTACTGATAAGAGAAAACAGGACTCACTGTTACGCGGCCATGCTCTCCCCCTCCTGGCGAGGTGGCAGCACTGCGGCGGCGTCTGCTCTCAGGAACACGAGGTTTGACAAATATTACGTAGGGCTTAAACTCTGCTGTCCTCAGCCTCCTCAGGGCCTGAAGTGGTGACACAGTAGAGGAAAGAGAAAAACACAAGTCAGAAGGCAAACATGACAGGACAAAGCCAACAGCCATGTATCAGACTCTCCACATTATGATCAGATCTGATGTGACTGCCTCCAGGATCTGTACCTCTGACATGTTAGATAGTGGATGTATATGAAGAAAGCGGGGCTCAGTAGTTGTTACATGACTCCTACCTCAGGCTGCACATCCACTATACACATCTTCTTGGCCTGTACAGAGCGGATCGCCTCTATACTGGTGCCGTACTGGTTCTCTTTGTATTCCCCGTGCTCTATGAACCTGAGGAGAAGCAGTAAACCTCTAAACTTCACCAGGAAACAGATCAGATGTTTACACAACATCTACATGTATGAGTGTTAACATACTTGTTGTTCAAAGCATCTGCATCAAATTGCTGTTTTGTGACAAAGTGGTACTCCACCCCTTCTTTCTCATGAGGTTTCTTGGGCCTGGTGGTGTCTGTGGGAACGTACAAGAGGAGTTAGTTGTATGCGATTAAACTGGCTTACAATAATGTTGGTTAATTGATAGGTACGTTGTGTGTTATTGCTGAGAAGAGCGACTCACGTGGTACAGCTACTGCATAACGATGTGGGTTTTCAGCAATCACCCGCTGTTTGAGTTCATTGATTCGTGCTCCGAGGGAACCTATGGGAGCAGGTTGTGTGTTTAAAGGAGAGAAATAAATGTAGTCTATCATCATGTTGATAAAGCTGTTGATACTGGATCATCAGTTTCTTGTAGCACATGCTTAAATCCAGCAGATGTCACTATGATCTTAGGAGAACGTTTGTGCGTTTCAGTGGCTCAGTCCTACCGATCAGAACCACCAGGCGAGGCCTCTCATTGGGCCTCTGCTGGTAGCGGGTCACCTCTTCGTAAGTCATGAAGTCGGGGTCTCCGGGATCAGAGCCCTCTCCTGATGATCCTTGCCTGTCCTTACGACTCAGCCGGAAACTCCTCCGTAAACCAGCTACATCGAGGCCAGAGAAAAGAGGGAAGGAGGAACAGAAAACCAAGGTGTTGGGTCAGATGCCATGAGCCATTGAATCATTTACACAAGGTTACATAACACAGGAGTGCACTACTTCACTGCCAGGATGCAGATATGATACATTTTTAAAGTTATTAGATAATTGCAGTGAGCAAACATGGTTTTAAGAAAGTCAAGATCAACTCATTGACAATCATGCATTAAAAAAAAACTTTGTAAACAGTGCACATGGATGAAAATAGCTCACTCTTATTTGAACTGTAAATACTTGATAGTGACAGATATTAGCTGAACTTGGAGCCATTAGACATCATGCTTCAACCGAAAATTGGATCACATGCAGCTGACAGAAAATATGTTTAAAATCTTTTAAGCAAAATATACTTTGTATTCATTTTTTAAGTAATAATTATTTCAGCAGTTCAGTGACCCAAGATAAACAACATTTTCCAACATTATGTTCCAAACAAGGCATGCTGCTTTGAACAAGGCTAGAGTGCTGAGGCAGGACAGACAGGCATCCTGGCCCTGGGAAACGCCGCGTCAATGGCAGAGAGTGACCGCAAATGAGGGTCTCCCATGACCAGGCCTGTCTGTATCCCCCCTTATCAGTGGTGTGTACCTGCGGGAATGAGCCGGGCACTGTACCTGAATAAAATTCCCAGGAAAACACCTGGCCACAGGAGGGCGCCACTGCTTTACACTTAGGAGAGACTATAACTGGCGTTAGAGCATCACACAACCCAGCCTCACACCTCCATCACAGGGTGAACGAGCAGCAAACGTGCCTGGTTGAGTGTGCAATGCGTCCAACAACGCAGCGGGGCCCTCATGAGGGGGAGAGGAGGGGGGTGTTTTGGGAAAGGGGGAAGCAGTGCACTGGCCACAGCAGCAGGGGCAGTTAGTTAGATGCAGGACGGGAGGGAGGCAGGTTGAGGAGGATCCAAACACTGCTGGGTGGAGGAGGTGGGTGGAGGGATGGTAAGGGGGGAAGGTTTTACAGCTCCAAGCAGAGTGCAACATAGTAAGCACAAATACGGTTTTTAAAAAAAGGTATTTTGTGTTACAGTGAGTAGGTGCTGTCAAGCTTTCAGCTGAGTTTAGATCGTTCCTTGAACTCATCGTCATTCCAGCAGCTCGCAGGATGTGGGGGAGAAAAATGGGGGTCAGGTTGGGCTGAAAAGGGCGAGGAAGGGGAGGTCAGTGGAAGGCTGGAGAGGGGTTGAGGATAAAGGGGACTAACATATTCCCTCCACCCCAATTTGAATTCAGCACAGCCTGTTATCACGACATAAAATCCCTGGCTACCTAAACACATTTTACCATCACTGTGATTTGATTTGATAATGATTTATTTTACAGGTCCATAGTTCCTGGAAAAAACTCATTGGGTAGTAAAATAGGAATAGTTTTCTCACGTTCAGCTGACCCGCTGTGTTCATGTTTGCAGTTATTTGATGTGTGACTGCCTCTTTGTTTCCTTACTATGTAGATGACATGCTTCTTTTCAAGAACTCTCCTGAGAAATAATTAGAAAATTACACTCTCTCAACCAGCACAAATTCTCTACTAACCAAATCATCATCATTTTATATGTGACACTGTCTAAGTCTAGTCTATATGGCCTCTGTACTTTAATGTCTGACACTTTAACTCGTCTGTTAACTCTAATTATACTCTAATTACTGGCACCTGCAGAAGTGTGAGATGACACTTCCTACACGTTTTTTTCTACTTCGTTTTCCTTTCATGTTTTGTACAAACACTGTAACAAGGTTTGTTTTCCCTACATCTGCATGTCTTCCCTTCGCCTGGCACAGGTTAATTGTGAATCATCACCCGTCTCTCTGATTTCCCTCTTATGGCATTGTGTTTGATCCCATCTCTTTATCCTTCGAAACCCTCACCCTTTCTCTAATCCCTCAACCCCGGCACCAGACGGGTCAACCCTACAAGCAGTCAGTTTGACGCCCCGCCCAGGGCAACCAGGGAACCAGCGCACAGCCAGGCTGCAACAGGCAAATAGCAGATAGGGAGAAGGAGGTGGAGAAAGATGTTCACGCTCTCACCTATGTACTGTCCATTGAAATAGCCCTCACAGTCACAGTCCTCTGTAGGGAGGCAAGCAGGGAAAAGAGGGGGTAAGCACAGGGTAAGAGACCTGGAAGAGTCAAGGAGTAGGGGAGGTGGAGGAGTTAAAGAGCAGGGCAGGTGGACTATGGGCGCTGGAGAGGGCAGGCGGGGCCGGCAGGCAGCAGGCAGGCAGACAGCGGGAGGCAGCCAAGAGATAATGAAGGAACGCTGCTGGAGGCAACAGCCACTAACAAAGGCTTGATGAAGATCGGAGAGGATAAAAGAGGAGAGGAGAGAGGAGGAGGCGAGGCTCTCCATCTGGAAGGGAGCCAGCTGTGAGCCAAGTCTCTGTGACCCACACACATGTAAACAAACCTGACCTCCCTGTTGTTGCACAGCTGAGACAGAAACTGCCTCACATACACAAACCTACAAATCCATAATTCCAAAACAAAAGAAGACTGTGACGATGTTCTGATTTTAGAAAACAGACAAACCATGGGTGGAAAAAAAATCTCAGCACAGAAACGGAATAAAACAACATTAAAATGATGTCTGAAAACACAGCAGAAAAGAAGAGGAAGACGAGGATGAAAAACAACAGAACAATGGACTGAGGATGACGCAGACCAAAAAAGGAGCTATTGTTATCTTTAACAACCTCTGCTTGGTTGGACTCAAATCCCCAGGGATGATGTTCTGCCTGCTCATCACCAGGTATAACACACACACACACACACACCGACACACACACACTAACACACACAGAATCTCTATTCTGCTCTGGTACACTAACAGCAGGAGGAAAGGAATTAAGCTGTAGGCAGTAAAAATCCCAAATGCACACACCACACATACACGCGCGTGTACACACACACACACACACACACACACACACACACACACACACACACACACACACCTAACAGAGACACCACAGGCCTCCATGAACATTTTTCTAGTGTGTGTGGATGTTTCTTTGTGTGTTCTGGATGAATCTTGTTTGTGGCTGCACATGTACCCACCTTTATCACATCCTTGGTCATCTGACACCGTGTGCAACAAGGAAGAACAAAGCGTGACACATTATCATCACAGTAGGTTAAAGGACAAGTTATTTTGTGTAAATGACATAAGAAATTTGGAAATTTTGTGAAAGCTGGGCTCGAGGATTTATAGATTCTGCAGTCGTCAGAATGACGTCACTGATGAGACGGGGAGACCCACATTTAAAGGCCCCACTGGGATTCAGGGGAATTAATCAGAGAGCTGGAGGAGCGTGGAGGGAGGCTGAGACAGAAGAGTCCCCTCAGGCTTGCTGCTGCGTGGCAAAGCAGTGCTAGCTGCCATGTTGCTAAGCTCTTGTTGTCGCCCCGTGGCTCAGGCCTAATCGGATCGCCTGCAGCTTATGAACCACGAAGAGCCACCACTCACATTAGCCACTCACCTGACTGTTTACACGCCGCCTCTATGGTATCAAGTGAGAAAGTGAGAAGCTGTAATGTATTGATGAGGCTTTGGTTCTCAGTGGGCGCCTGTTGCAACGCTGTCTGGATCTATATAAACTGAGCTCACAGCCCGCTCGCTGACCAGATGGACCAAACATGAAAGAGATTAATTCATATTTGTGATCCCTCCCTCCGTCTCTGTGCCCCTCCATCTCTCTCATTCTCATCCCTTTAAAAACACGTCTACACAGCCACATGGAGAGGACGGACAATGAATACTAATGCCTCCGAGAACGCCAATTACTAGCAAAAAAGGTCAATAAATGTCAATGAAAACATTGCTGCATTTATCCACTGGAGGATTTATTGTCCGATAATGAGAGTGACTGAGTGCATTAGTGGAGAAAGGAGAGCTGATAGTGAAAGATGCTGCAGGTAGTGAACTGTAATTAAGAGATGATGCTTAGGATGCAGTGGAATCCTGGGAAGCAGAAACTTACAGACAGGCTTTTTAGGGGATTTTGGATTCGGGAGCGTGCCCATTTTCATCCTGTAGGCCAGTCGCCTGGAGGAATGTGCAGAGAGAGACAGAGAGGACGAAGGCAGGAAGAGGATCATCAGGACAGAAATAAACAGTGAGTGAAAAAGATAAGGAGGAAATGACAGACAGGTAGAATAAAAGATTTACACATTAAATTCAGGGGAAGATAAAACGCACATGGATGGATTATAAGACATTGGGCTCCTAAACACAGACTTTTTGTCGTCATTCTATGCCCCATTGTGATAGCTTTGTGTCTCTCCTAACCCCTATCTGTGTTATTTCATCGTAAACCTTAATTTAACATATAAAAAAAGCTTCTCAGAGCTCGGTTACTCCTCTGACCTGTGTCTCTCTCTGTGTTCAAACTGTGGGTATTAATCCTACAGGCGCGGCAGTGTTTGGCAGGGATCTCCCAGCCAGCTGAGATCATCTTACTAACGGATTATGACACTTACTGTATCAGCGTGCGCCTGTTCAAGGCTGTGTTTTGATTTATTTTTTTTCCACACTGCTTTGATGCTCCATCTAATCATAGTTGACCCCTCAAAGTGGAACACATGAATGTGGATTTAAAAGATTACAAATGGCTGGATGACATAAATATCGGCAGCATATGGGTGAATCATTCAGTCCTGATGCTGATTAGTTTACACCACGGGGAGTTCAGTTAAACAGCACAGGCACATGATTTGACCTCACCTCTCCTGGAACTGTTTGGAGGGGATGAGTCCGGCCCGCAGGTTGCTGTCTCCCACTCGTTTGGCCTGCCACCACGTGGGGTCGTCCTGGGTCACGACCTGCAGGATGTCTCCCCGTTTGAAGGGAAGTCCCGCCTCTTGGCACGGCGTGGCCTTGTCCTCCAATGGGATGTAGTCAAACAAGGCTCTCATATAGACCTGGAAGCAAATGTGTTAGCTGTGTGAGAATTGTGGAAAACAAAAAGGCACCCTGTGTAGATACTTATTTTTGTAAATAAACGGGAGTGAAGTTGTTGATCTGTCTTGTCTGCCTTGGAAATTTGCATAAACATGGTGATGATCAGAAATTAAACTGCTATTTTTAATCAACTGTTTATATCAAAAAATAATCTGGAATAACACCCGAAAGGCTCCAACCCCGCTGTGGTCTATTGTTTTCCCGTCGCACTCCTGCTCCATCTCACCTTGCTCTCCTTCAGTCGGTCCTCCTCCTTAATGGCAGGGATTATCTTTAGAGTGATGGAGCCCTGGGACTGGGACTAGATCACAAATAGACAAGAGGAATTAGTAGAGAGGAGGTCGTGAGCCTCAAATTAAAGACAAACACAGGATATACTTGGATTAAAGGCACTCTGACGTGGATTTGACTTTTAATGTACTATCAGTGAAGACTGTTTGCAAATTAAAAAAAGATGGACAGAACGTGTTGGGTGAGGATTCACTACTACTACTCATCATCATCCTAGAGAATTGTTTTACTTTCAGCCTTGTTGTAGGGCTGTGCATGTGCTGTGATGTTGATGTAAGATATTAGAGAGTGATTTTTAGAATATCTCAGTGGTTTTGGTTGTAGACTTCCAGTGTGCAGCTGCTGACTGGGGCAAATTGTTGACTTAATGGTGTGGACACAAAATACTGTGTGTTATAACTGAACTCTATATCCTCATCCAGCACATTGTTCTTGGTGAACTGAAGTGTGTACAAATGTTATTGAAGAGTTTACAATAGTAAACATTTTACTTATATTTATGGTTTATCTTTGAGTTTTTACCCTTTATAATTCTGGGACTTTTATTTATTTTTCACTCTAGTCTTTTAGCACAGACTTAATGAGCGTGCCACACTGAATTTCACTGTTCATATTTCTTACGTATGTAGAAATAAAACCTGTAAAACTATCTTTAAAAAAGTTTTCCACAGGTAAGCAAGAGTGTAATTGTTTCCTTTTCAATATAACATTTCTTCAAATTATAATCATAGGCTGAACTTTAAGCAAGTAACAGTCCAAAAATACAATATGAAATATTGTTCTTGTACTTCTGTATTTCTCTAATTACACCAGTGTCACTAATTATAGAGTGTACAGTAGCAACGTCTATCTTACCAGCAGCTGACTGATCTCATCTGGTCTCTTGTGGATTACAGAGACTCCGTTCACCTCCCTGAGTTCATCTCCAACATGGACCAAACCTGCGAGGAGAGGAGATAGCATGAAGACACAGATTGAGTGGGCAGAGACATCAATGACAATCAAAGAGGCTTCACCGAGCGTCCCTGGTCTGTGGGGTTTATCAGTCGTATCTTAACAACAGTATTGTTGTCTGATCCACTGATACAGGCTGCCTCCATCCTCAGCTGTGATCCGTTTAGCTGCAGCCACAACAATGAAACCAAAGGCTGAGAGGAGTGAGATCAATACGCCTTTTCCTTCAGGAGGGAGAACCACATAGGTGCATTCATATAATGTATGCATCTACCAGACGCACACACACATGCCTGAGGCCACTTCTCAAATCTGTCTACAGCCTCTGTCTCCACACGGACGAGAGCTTTTTCCATCATTTGACGCAGCAAGACAATGGAGGGAGATGGTAACGATTAACGGATGCGGACAGTGATTGGTTTACTTTCGCAGCATGCATGTTTCTACTGCCAAATAACACACACACACGGGCACGCACACACCTGCGTGTGGCTAATATTTCTATGGTAACGCTCATGAAAGGAGTCTATATCATTTTGATTGACTCTCTGGCGACTCGTTGAGAGCTTTGAGTTTCAGCAGCAGCCACACCACTACTGTCATTTGTCTTCTGCTGCTGCCACAATGCATCTCTCTCACACTCAGGCTTTGATCCCACTTTCATTAGAGTATCAGGTTTTGATTTGTTATCCCACTCGTATGTATTTTTTCAGGAAACAGTTTGGCTCATTTTCACTGGCTGCAAGAAGACAAATGCCATCACACTGCTGTAAAACTCAGGAGGTCTCTCAGGGCGTCATGGTGGCTCAGTTTGTCTCGGGGCTGTGCTACATTACTGCAACCTCCTGGCTCATATCCATGCTGGGAACGTTTTTGCTTGTCATCCCTGATTCTTTCCTGCTTCTTTAAACTGTTACACAACAGCTAAATGTCTCCAGAACTATTTTTTAACCATGATAATTAACATTAACATTCTTGTGAGCACTTCATTGAAGTAAAATCTACTTGTGATGCCTCATTATAGGATGCATTGTCTCTTTAAATTTTACAACCGAAAGTCAGAATGAGTAGAAGAGATAATCAGTAAGTTGTTTTTTTGGGTTTTCTTTGGCTCACCCATTGTTTTCAGCATAAAAAATTACTGACACTTCACTTCACTTCAATTCACCTGACACCTGCTCAAAAGACTCAACAACTCAGAAAGTTGCTGACCTCTGGACAAGAGTAAATGTTTGATGATGAGAAATTTTTTATTAATGGTGCATATTCACATTGCATATTTTTTCACAGTTCATTTGTAATATGATAATAGTTTGTGCTGTGATAAGTCGTTAAATATGCTGTTCTTTTCTCCACCATCACTTTGATGTGGCCAATTATGTTTTCTCCTGTTCAGCATCTCCTCTGCAAAACCTGAAGGGATTAAATGAGGCAATGCCAGTGCGTTTTACTCAGCGCCCTCATTCCCGTGCAGTTGGAGGGGAGTATTTTAAACAGCATTAGCAAACAAAATTACAGTGTTAAAACACGAAAAATATCTGAAGATTTTATAAAATATTTAGTAGCAAATACTTCTTAGAGGGGTGGGGTCGCAGAGAGGAGGGCAGGTCATTAAAAGTCTCTGCTCCGACTTATTTATTTGAAAAATGTTTATAGACCTGGGAAGGTAAAATCATACGGTACTTCATGAATAAAAGATTCATGAAAAGATCTGCAATCATCATGCAACCTTTTTGGTTCACTTCGCTTGTCTGTGTTCCAGTTCCCAGGTTCCAGTCCACCTACAGCTACTGGCAGACTTGCCATGTGACAAGGTTTGTAAAAACTACAGAGTAACAAACAAGAAGCAGCAGAAGAAGCACAATTTACCACTTCGATCAGCTGCACCTCCTCTCATGATCCGAGCCACGATCACCGCCCCGGTGGCTTCATCCCGCCTGATGGTGGCTCCCTGGAGTACAGACAAAGGAATAAGATCATTAACAGAAAAGCACAAAGGCCTCGGTCCCATAATCCCCGTCTCTTCCACCCTGTTCTCCTGCAGGCTCCTAAGTTTTCATTTCCACTCTCATCTTTCTGTCACAACTCACCAGAGGCTCCTTGTTCTTCACCAGCCTGACAATCTTCACCGACTCCTCCTCCAGCTCGTCCTCAAAGTCATCCGGCAGCGGTGGCAGCACGGGGTCGAAGTTCTTCTGAGCCACAGTGTCGTGCACTGAGAGAACAGCCTGATGGGACATAAAAGCGACGTGCTGAGATTACAATGCTGACGTTGGGCTGCCGGGGAGCAGAAAGAGCACCCTGACGTCTGCCACAATCTGCAAACAGCTTCAGACATGAGTTTACAGTCTGATGTCACAGCAAATGAAACGGCCACATGGATGCACTCTAATGTGAAATAGTGAAACACGAGCTCTTCATGTTCTGAGCAAAAATGTTCTTTGGATTGGTGGCAACTTATTGTGGCTGTTCGCTATACTGTATGTCTCTGTTTCTGGTTCTTATTCCAGATAGCCCGCAGTTTTTCATGTTTTAAAATTTTCCTACAAAGTAACACTGTAGGACTGACGGCTACAAAGTGTGTTCACCTTGAGATGAGGCGACGTCAGCAAGTGCAGCAGCTCCTTCTCCTCAGTGCTCATTGGTCCACTCTGCAGCTCCTCTGCCACCTACAGATCACAACACACACACACACAGACACACACGAACCATGAGCCCTGACCTGACGTGAACCTGTGTGTGTGGATACCGGGAATGCAAGCTACAGTTTACTGTAGAATAAATGCAGAGAGAGAGACACAGACATGCACGCAGGGGGAGATAAGTAGTGAGCAGCTAAGGTCAGCAGTTTCCTGCACTGATAACTGGTGGGAGCGAGAGAGCACCAGGATATGGAGTTTCATTAAATGAGCATCGGGATGACTCAGCACTTTGAGGACATTAAAATTCACTTTTGATACCTGCACTGCTTCTCTGTGGGAGCTAACTCATTGTGACTGACTTCTGGACCCAAGTGGAAAAATCATTTAGTGTGAGTGTGTGAGTGATGAACTTACATCCTCTGCCAGAGAAGAGGCACTGTGGAGGACAGGTGTTGGACTCTGTCTCTCATACTGTCTCAGCTTCTCATGGATCTGTGACAAAAACAAATTTAGTTTATTAGGGGAGACGGTTTCATAAAGGAGTGCACCATTCTGGAAAACTGTAAAGGTCAAGCAAAGAATAATGTTCATATGCATCCAAGTCTAGACACTTTTATCAGGGAATCAGTAAAGCCATTAGGATTCACCTTCTGTACCCCATGGAGACAATCTGGATTATTCTCTCTATTCAAAATATCTACTAGGGACTTCATTTAATATTTCGGTATGAGTCAAAGGGAAACATACAACAACAACAACACTTCATCCACTGCACAGAGGATGAATACATTGTTGCTCACCTGACACACAGTACAGTTCTTAAACCCAGCAGCTAGATTCTTTTGATAGTTTTTCATTTCTAAACCTTACGTTTCTGCATGATGCCAGTTGCCCAGTATCACACATGGCTTATTCTTATATTTGCTGGCAAGCAGCCTCTCGTTATCATGAAAATAATGACTGTAATAATGACTGAAAAAGCATGAGGCTGAGACATGGATGGTTGGGTCACAAACAGACTGCTGTTTGCATCCTATTTCATTCCAACATCTCTGATCAATAGCCAAGTTTACTTGCCCACACTTTACCAAACTTTAATCATGGTGGTGGCAGTTCAGAAAACAAAATCAAAACAGTGAGTCATTTTTGTGACAGTCATTTGTGACAGTTTTAGATGGCAGTGACAAATGATGTCCTGCCAACAGACCAGAAAACTCAAATGACCTGATTTCTGTCCTGTCACTTAAGGAAACAGGCTAGATTATAAAAAAAAGCTATTTGGATTTTCAAGACATGAGGGACAATCAAATCTGAACCTCCTTTTTCAAGGAAAAATGTTCCAAAATTTAACGGTGCAACGATCCAAACTGCATCTAAATGTAAATATTAATGGTTACTTGTGGAATCAGACTCAGTTTCCGTAGTAATAAGATTTCCTCACCTTCATGAGGTATCCCAGGCTCCTCTCACTGAAGACATCTTTGAGGAACACCATGTCCTCTTTGTGGTTGGCATCGGGCCGCAGCTGAGAGGTCAGCAGGGCCAACGTCTCATGAAGCCCTACAGAGGAGGGGAATAAGAAAACCATTGTGTACATTAATGCGAGCAGATGGAGCACACCATCATCCAGCAGTATGGACAGTATGTGTGAAGCATCTGTGCCAACTCGTCTCACCCGCTCCTGCTGTGAGCACCGGCATGGCTTCTTTCATGGGTCAGTGAGGTGAGGAGGGGAAACCTGGGATGGGGAGACAAGACACAAATTACAATCAACATGTTCACTGATGCTTTCTGTTTCTAAAAAACAATTGCCTCTTCACAAGAACAGCAAAAAAAAAAAAAAAAGAAGAAAAGGAACTGGTGTGTTTTTGTGAGCATGTAGAACTGATTTAAAGGCATCCAGAGACCCATGTACAGTAATTACAGCCGTATATCATCTCCTTGTACGCTTCATGCCATAAATCCAGGCTGCATTTTCCATTTTGCAGGGCAGTTACCTCCTCTGTGAAAGTGTAGGTGTGTATGAGCAAGTCTGCTTGCATTATAGAGCCGTGCTAGTAAGATAAACAATCACTGCTGGTACTATTAATCACACCGACTCTCACCAGGCCCACTAAGCTTTGTGTTGGTGTGTGAGAGAGGAGAGTGGGCTACTCTGGCACAAACCTGCATGAAAGAACTAAAGCACCGACAGGACAGAGGCCGCCTTCCACATGACTGTTCATTAACCTGTGTGAATGTAACTATGTAGTATACACAGTGTTTGTTGTGTTGTTGATCTTTTTTCTCTGCTTTGAGCTGCATTCACTTATTTATGCTCAAAGGGATTAATGATTGATTGATGTGATTGTGACTGAATTTTGTGCAATGAGCTCATACAAGGAATAATATGTAGCAAAAAAAACAAACATTCATATTGACTTTTACACTCAATCAATCAATTTGAAAAAGAAAAAAATGTCAACCAATGGGGTGAGATTATGTTACATACAATATCTCAATACAAGGCAGAGTTTTACCTTGTTTCAGTGTCAGTATATTGGAACACAAGCAGATCAGTGCTAGTAGCAAGAAAGAATGCAGGTTAGTTAGTAAAATTTTAAACAAGTTGATTTGTATCAGACACACTTATAATGCAATATAATGGAATCCAGTAACAGCTCAGACATAAATTCTACACTAACAGAGCTTATAATGGTCAGTTTTTTTATGTAAACTGTCCAAGAAGAGTTCATTCAGCTGTGTTTCTTATAGAGGTTGTAGTTTGCGGTGGTGTTGAACTGGATTTAATTATATTGAAATGTGTTTCTTATATTCTTCACCCCTTGTGTTTATAAAATGGAGTGGGCCAAAAATTAGAAACACTTCTCAGTATGATGCAGTTCACTGCAAACTACAGCTTCAATATAAACATGTAGTTAAATTCATACCTGTAGGACAGTGTCAATCAAAGCTGAACATTATCTTTGTAAAGGTGGAATTTATGTCAGACCTGTTGTATAGGATCACATTAGATTTTACAGGTGTACCTGATAAAATGGCCGGTAAGTGTGTATATTCATATATACTGACAGACTGAGTGACTACAGTCAGCAATTACCACAGCCCCTACAGATCAATATCCCTGTCACTGCACTCGATATTCTCCATACATCCTCCCACTGGAAACAGGAGTCAATAACATAAACCACAGACTACATCATGTAACAAAGCAACAAAGCCAAAACAATAAGCTGCAATGAGGAGTATTAGCATTTTCACAAAAATTCTATCAAGCATTATATTTGGATTTACTGTAATGTTGTAAACATTTAGGGGCAGAGTGTCAGACTGTTCGATTTCCCTTTCTTGTTTGTGTCAAGAAATATGGAATAAATCAGTAAGTAAACATGGGCTGGTTTACAGTCATTCTTCAAAAATGTGACATCTAAATACTGTATTATATAATCATCCAACACCTACCTGTTTACTCTGGTGAAATATTGACAGAAATTGTATTCAGAGTGTTTGGAAAAAGGGCAAAGGCCCAATTGCTCAACTTGTCTGGCAGTAGTTTGCTTGTCTGCTTTGTACTGTACATGTAAAATAAACATAAGCTTGACAAGGGATATATTTAGTACAGGGCTGTTTCACTGTGTCCACACTGCCATGATGATGCATCTTTTTGGTGTATTACCACCTTCCACAGAGACTCTAAAGTTTATATGAAAAAAACTATCTGCATACATTCAACAGAAATCCTAAGCACAGAGGTGTTTATAGCATTTCCTTGTTCTTCTTCTTCTTTTGTAATATTTGAGCAGGTTTTTAAGCAACCACTGTGCAGGAACAAGTCAAATTAATCTGTACACACTGACTCATTACAAAGGAGAATAAGGCTCAACATGAAACAAGTGATCCTTTCTAAAAAAGCAAAGAAAAGATCAAAATTACTTTTCCACACTGGCACCAACTGATGGAGACAAAACAGAACACTGAACTGACCTCTGAACTGTTAGCATAGCATGTTAGCCATTTTCCAATATTACAACCAGGAGCTAAAGTGAAGCTTACATGCAGCAGCGTGAAGGCAGCAAGAGCAGGTAGAAGACTAAAGCACTAATGTAGAAAAGCAGATGTCAGCAAACTGGCAGAGGGTTCATCAGAGCAGGAGCAAGGCTGCAAAGTTAAGACACGCTATCCAGTCCACTTTGGGGCTAATGACTGATATGAAGCAGCTGTGCAGGCAGGTACAGGAGCAGCAGACTCTGTAGAGGCAGCTAGAGGACAGGTGAGGGACAGCAGGTCTGGGATTAGAAATGAGGTAAAGACTACACAGGGGAAGATGACAAAGAGAGGGGGGGGGGAGGGGGGGGGGGTATTGTAATTATCAAGATATTATTTGAACCACTTGTTTTTTATCCAAATTAGCAGTGTGGCATGATTGTGATGCATTTAGTCCAGACTGAAGTTTCAGCTACTAGATGGTTTGCTATCAAATGTTATTCAGACATTCGTGATCCCCTCAGGATGAATTGTCTCATTCAGCTCCATTATCCAGTTCTTTGGTTTATGACAAAATGCCTGCAAAACCAATGACATTTTTGCTTACTACTAATTAGCATATGTTAGCGTGCTTACATGCTAAACTATCTTGGTGGACATGGCAAACATTATTCCTACTTAACATCAGTACATTAACATTGTCTTTTTAGGAATGTTAGCATACTGATGTCAGCGTTTAGCTCAAAGTGCTGCTGTGCATGTTAAGTAAAGCCACCCATATATTATATAGTTTAATTAATTATAATTATAATAATTTAATATATATTTAGCATTAAACGGTTGTCTTAGGAATTGTTTAATGGAGATATTAAATAGGATTTAGGTTAACTGCATTATCAGTGCAGAATTGTATTCTTAGGATCTCTAACCTAAAAACATCAACCTCGATATGCTCAGCAGCAAGTGAAGACTTCCTGAATGAGGACAGAGGGGAAGCAACATGAACGAACTGTATAGTCTGAAACCTCAACTTAAAAATCAGATCGTCCTCATCAGTGCTGTTGTTACAATGATATACAGCATCCTGCACCTTCACATCTTACTGTTGCCGGACAAAAGTACCAAAGCTGACTTTATTTTGACAACATGTTGCAGAGTTGATCATAAAAAAATGATCAGTCTTCTTTCATTTTGTGTCTTTGAGGCCTGGTTTTTTATTCATATTCAGGGGTTTTCACTTATTACACTTACCAAAAAAAAAAACCTGAGCTCTTATTTTGTCTCTGTGTGAACCCATCGACGAGGAATCCTACATTATGTCAGCTCAGCTTCCACTGTAATGTATCTTCATTGCAAGATTGCAATTTTCTCTCTCTTCCTAAAGCATTTCTCAAACATATCCGTGTGCTTTGATGGTTCACAATAAGAATATGATTAACCACCGCAGAGACACAGAAAGAGACAGCAATGAGCTCATGAATAATGAACAGAAAGGATATTACTGAGGGAGAAAGAAGGATGGGGAGAAGATGAACAAATCGTGCAGGAGGGGGGAGGCAGCACAGGAGAATCAGTCGGATCAACACACAAGAGACAAGGTCTTTATTCTCAAGTGTGTCAGCTGGGATTTTCTCCATATAACCTCACTATATTTAACTCGGGGGGGGGGGGGGGTATCATTATCAATACAGTGTCTTTGGAAATGATAAAGAGCTTCATTCTGCACTTTAGATAAATATTCACTCTTCACTGATGATTTTTTTTCTTATATCACAAACAACCACCTTCAGCAAAGAAACCCTTTGAAAGTTTCCTCTCATTTCCTCTCACCTTCTTCTGACTGATATAACTTGTAGACGAGGAGAATTAATGGGCAAATAAAAACGTAATGGCGCTCTGTAATGTGCAAAGAGTTGATTTATATTGAAGACATGGTGTGAATGGACTGGGATTCACTATAAAGGGAGTACAGAGATGGTTATTACAAGTTTGAGCTTTTCAATAAATGTCTTTCTTTATATTCTTTCCTTCTTTGTTTCAATTTCTGACACCTATGAATTACAGTATTACTTTTTGATAAGAGCATACATACAGAACAGGTATGAAGTCATAGTTTGCAGCCACTGATTACTTACAGCCTCTTTCTTAGTTATATAATTTTTATGTTCAGTGTGAATTCACTTTCAGAGGATACCTTTCTCCGATGTCTGTTGCAATTAAAAATCCATACACACACTTAGAAATGACAGGAAAAGGCACTCCTAATAACTCCAGGACTTGCCTCAGAATCGTTATGATTTTAGTTTTTTTCAGTAATTGAGTGATAGTTCTCTGTTCGTCAATGGGTACACTGCAAACAGGAACTGCTAATAGCTAATTCAGCAAACTTTTTATGTTGCCAGTTTGCCAAAATGTAAACACATATATATATAATTATAAATATATAATTATGAGAACATTTTCCACAAACCAGTAATGGGATATAGGGACCCACCCTTCCCTCTAACTTAGAAATAAATAGGAAATATCAAAATTGTCATAATCTTAAGAATAAATCTGTCTATTTAGAATTAAACTGCATCAATGGATAGGAGACCTGGAGGCCTGTCTGTAGAAAGGGCCGATGATGACTTATGAGGACCACGCTATGTGACTCTGGGTTTCACTTCATATATGAAACTTCCCCAAATGACAGATTTAACTGAGTTGAGAATTTTAGTGTCTCATGGTTTCAAAGGCATGTA